TCCCCCGCCCCCCTCTGCCGATCCCTCCACTGGCTTCCATCCCTCGCCCCCCTCTGCCCATCTCTCCACTGGCTTCCATCCCTCGCCCCCCTCTGCCAATCCCTCCACTGGCTTCCAATAGCCCAAAGGATAAAATTCAAAATATTAACAACCACTTACAAAGCCATCCACAACTCTGCCCCCAGCTATATCCTCTGGAACTCTCTACCCCAACCCTTCCCTAAAGACTCATCTCTTCAGGGAAGCCTATCCCACCTCAACCTAACCACTGAACCATCACTTTCTCAAACAATTCATCCGCCCACAGCTACCTCCTCATGTATCACTCGCCCCTCCCTTTTAGACTGTAAGCCCTCAGGGGCAGGGCCCTCCTTACCATCTTGTCTTGAATTGTATTGTGATTGTAATGTCTTCCCTTATATTGTAAAGCGCTGCGCAAACTGTTGGTGCTATATAAATTCTGTATAATAATAATAACGAGGGGACACTAACCAACAGGACACACAGAGGGGACACTTATAAACATGTGGCACATAGGAGGGGATGAGGAGACACTAGTGAACATGACACACAGGAGATGAAAGGACACTAATGAACGTGACACAGGGGGGAGATGAGGAGACGCTAATGAATGCGACACACAGAGATGCGGGGACACTAATGAACGTGGCACACAGGAGGTAAAGGGACACTAATGAACATGACACGGGGAGATGAGGGGACACTTAAAGAGTGAAACACCGATAATGGGGCGCTATTGAATGTGACACATGTAGCGATGAGGGGACACAAAGGAATGCGACACACAAGGGGAGATGAGGGGCCACTAATGAATGTTACACATAGAGATGAGGGAACATTAATGAATGTGGCATGCAGAGATGAGGGGACATTAACAGGGATCTAACAGGGATCCCTCTATTAGATAGCGGATCCCTGGTGTCTGCGAGAGAGGCATTTTCTCACTGAAAGGTTTACTTTCCGGTTAGATATCAGTGGGTAAAGTTTCAGAGTGAGGCTTGCCTCCTGGAGGAAGGTCATGTGATCTCTAGAGTAGCCTCATGACCAACAAGCGTGTTTTAGGCCTGACCAGAAGAGCTTGCACTCTACTTCCCGCTGCTACAGACAAGACACAGAACAAGTCGCAGAGGATTTAAACTGCTACCAGCAAGACGCACGGACAGCAGGGGGCTCAGCTCTGAGCCGCGGAGCTTACCATCTACTGTGAACATGACAGGCCTGATGAACGGCGGCCGACATTAGAATAGTCGCTACAATTCAACACCACAAATAACATGTCGGCCAACAGGTGGGCCCTGCCCTGCGGGGCTTGCAGTCTAACCTGTCCTGTTACAGAACCAGTTGTGCAGGATTTGAGATGCAAGACGCACTTTTTGACAAAATTGGGTGCTGCTTACGACCTTCTTCCTGGCCCTGACCACCACCCACTGCTGGGAACACGGATGGACTCTTCACCCAAGCATCCCAGGTCACGTCAATCCATCAACCATTGTACATCCAAACTAGCGCAGCCATTCCGACCAACAGGTTGGTCCTGACCCGCAGAGCTTGCAATCTACTCACTCGACATGCATGAAGAATTCAGAATTTTGCACGGTAGGCAATGGCTCACCTGCCATGACCGCAGAGGTCGCCCCCGACCTGCGGGACCTGAAATCTATTCTGTTGATGTGTGTCAAAGGCGAAAGAAGTAACATTGTAATGGTGCAGTTAAAAAGCATCCCCCCCATTTAAAGGAACCCCCACCCCTTAAAGGATGCCCCTCTTCCTGTTTATAAAGCAGCTGTTCTGATTGACAGCTGCCTCCTGAGCTGCAAAGCTTGCAGTCTGATCTCTCCGGCTGCAGACACAGATCAGGAAAAGCAGTTTATATAATTTTACAGATGATGGAGGAAGAAGCTTGTGGGCATCCTGCAGGGGCTGGTGTCACCAACGTCTTGCAGGCCCTGGGGGAGATCCCAGCTTACCTTGGTATTAGGAAGGGATTGTGCTTGGTGATCCCTGCTGAAGGCTTCGTAAGATCAAGTCGCCTGTGTCATGGCTCCACACTCCCCTCCCTTCCTCTGTGATGGCTGCAGCTCTTCCCACCTTCCTCCTCCATGTTGCTCCTCCTCCCCACCCCCTCCCGCCTGCTCTCTGTTGTCAGCAAAGCAAACACAGTCTGCATGCATAATATTGCCTGCTTTACGGCTATTTATAACTTGTTCCCATCGCATGCTGACTTCCCAAATACTTTCTGTATGGCCGAAGAGACAAAGGGGCTTTTCTTGCGATCGACCAGAAAGAAAAATCGAAACAGAAAAGTCACAAATACAGTAAATTTAAAGTTCAAAAGATCAGTCCCCCCGAAAGTGATATTTTAGGTTTTTGGTGGATGCTGGAGAGTTATTCCGACAGTTTTTAAAAAATCTCTTCTCCCTCGGATGAGTTCCCGGCTCCGCCCACCTGCTGTGCCCATTATGAGGAGCTCCCACCATTCCTGTGCTGAGTTCCCGGCTCCGCCCACCTGCTGTGACCATTATGAGGGGTTCCCTCCACCCCTGAGCTGAGTCCCCGGGTCTGTACACCTGCTGTGCCCATTATGAGGAGCTCCCACCTTACCTGTGCTGAGTTCCCGGGTCTGTACACCTGCTCTGCCCATTATGAGGGGCTCCCACCATCCCTGTGCTGAGTTCCCGGGTCTGTACACCTGCTGTGCCCATTATGAGGGGTTCCCACCATCTCTGTGCTGAGTTTCCGGGTCTGCCCACCTGCTGTGCCCATTATGAGGGGCTCCCACCATCCCTGTGCTGAGTTCCCGGGTCTGTACACCTGCTGTGCCCATTATGAGAGGCTCCCACCTTCCCTGTGCTGAGTTCCTGGGTCTGTACACCTGCTGTGCCCATTATGAGGGGTTCCCACCATCCCTGTGCTGAGTTCCCGGATCTGTAAACCTGCTGTGCCCATTATGAGGTGCTCCCACCATCCCTGTGCTGAGTTCCCGGATCTGTAAACCTGCTGTGCCCATTATGAGGGGCTCCCACCATCCCTGTGCGGAGTTCCCGGATCTGTAAACCTGCTGCGCCCATTATGAGGGGCTCCCACCATCCCTGTGCTGAGTTCCCGGGTCTGTACACCTGCTGTGCCCATTATGAGGGGCTCCCACCATCCCTGTGCTGAGTTTAAACTAAATTTGTGCAAACTGCTGATTTTGCATTGCTGGCTAGTCAGATTTTTATTCTAGTAAGAGGTAAAACTGGAATTTCTGCTTCTCTCCGGGGTGTTCCAGATCTGGACTGACCTGTCTGTGTTCTCTCGTCACTCAAACAACAGCAGCCCGAGAACTGGAGGCAAAGAAAAAAAAATATTGGATTTTGTTGTGAAAAAGCAATTAATTAGAGAACGCTTTTCACTAGTCAGCAAAATGCAAAGTCATTAAGATAATGAGCAGCTGTATAGAAATCCGGAGACTGCGGAGCGAATATTATCAGCTTATCACGAAAAAGGGAAATATAACATACACTATATTACCAAAAGTATTGGGACGCCCCCTCCAAATCATTGGATTCAGGTGTTCTGTGACATTTTCTTGCTACTAAATATTCCGCGGTCACCTGTTTAGCGGGATTATAACAAAGTGGAAGTACCTGGGAACAACAGCAACTCAGCCAGGAAGTGGTAGGCCACGTAACATGACAGAGCGGGGTCAGCGCATGCTGAATCGCACAGTGCGCAGAAGTCGCCAGCTGTCTGCAGAGTCAATAGCTACAGACCTTTAAACTTCATGTGGCCTTCAGATTGGCACAACAAGAGTGCGTAAAGAGCTTCATGGAATGGGTTTCCATGGCCGAGCAGCTGCATCCAAGCCATACATCACCAAGTGCAATGCAAAGCGTGGGGTGCCGTGGTGTAAAGCACGCCGCCACTGGACTCTAGAGAAGTGGAGACGTGTTGTCTGGAGTGAAGCGGTTGTTTTTCAAGGGTTGGGCTTGGCCCCTTAGTTCCAGTGAAGGGAACTCTTAAGACATTTTGGACAATTTCATGCTCCCAACTTGAGAGAGTTTGGGGATGGCCCCTTCCTGTTCCAACATGACTGCGCACCAGTGCACAAAGCAAGGTCCATAAAGACATGGATGGGGGAGTTTGGGGTGGAGGAACTTGACTGGCCTGCACAGAGTCCTGACCTCAACCCCATAGAACACCTTTGGGATGAATTAGCCCTCGTTCACACCTGAATGTTTTGTAGCGCGTTCTACGCTCGACGAACGCTCTACAAAACGCTCAAAAATATAAATCCCATTGTAGTCAATGGTCTCGTTCCCAACTTGGCGTATTTCCGCCCGTCCCTAAATCGCTACAAAACGGCCCACGCCTGAAAAGGTACAGGTACTACTTTGGGCCGTTTTGTTGCCATTTGGATACAGCCAAGTAGCCTTCGGAAACGCGCGACTTTTTTACAGCGAATCGCAGTAAAAAACGCGCGACAGACGCGTTTATGCAATACGCCTAGGTGTGAACGAGACCTTAGAGCGGAAACTGCGAGCCCGGCCTTCTCCTCCAACATCAGTACCTGACCTCACAAATGGTCCAACATTCCCATAGACACACTCCTAAACCTTGTGGACGCTTTCCCAGAAGAGTTGAAGCTGTTATAGCGGCAAAGGGCGGAGCCAAATCAATATTGAACCCTACGGACTAAGACTGGGATGTCATTAAAGTTCATGTGTGTGTAAAGGTGTCCCAATACTTTTGGCAATATAGTGTATCTTCTATCTGGGGGGTGGTAATGTAACTCTTGTATAATATAGCTTCTACCTATGGAGGAGCGGTGATGTCACTCCTGTATAATATATCTTCTACCTATGGAGGGTTGGAACTTTTCGATGTTTTTTCTTTGTGTAACGCTAACCCTTCCTGCTCTAAGATAAGATCTGTCTGGAATGGAAACTGAGCTTTCATGCGTTGTCCAGAAGGTGGCGCTGTCCACGCTCACCTGAGCCACCTTCATTCAGGAAGAGGTAAGGTACACAGGAAGATAGTTGTACTTGGCACATCGTAATCCCGATTGAACGAGGGTCCCAGTCCTTTTATGGCGGCATCGGTGAGATGCAGGAAAGTTTCCATGGTGACCGCCTGTTACTATGGCTAAATGATTAACCCCATTCATATGTTGTTACCTACAACATGGTTTGTTGCGAGTAGCTGATTATTATGAGGATGGATGTGTACAAAGTTCAGATTAGGCAACTTTCCCCTGAAGTCACATGATAGTGATCAGATGGTTAATGAGACAATAGAGGTCAGCTCTAAGAAAAAAAGAAACACCAACATGTGGCACCGGGATATGAGAGTCATGATTGTCTATCTCAGGGTGCCGGAGAAATACACATAGAAGAGTGATTGAAGATAACTAAAGATATAGAGGAATCAGTACCTCCTTCCTCCTGCTGGGGATCCCTCTACTGATAACTAAAGATCTATATAGAGGAATCAGGACCTCCTTCCTCCTGCTCGGGACCCCTCTAGTGATAATAAAGATCTATATAGAAGAATCGGGACCTCCTTCCTCCTGCTGGGGACCTCTCTAGTGATAACTAAAGATCTATATAGAGGAATCAGGACCTCCTTCCTCCTGCTGGGGATCCCTCTAGTGATAACTAAAGATCTATATAGAAGAATCGGGACCTCCTTCCTCCTGCTGGTGATCCCATTGTGATACTAAAGATCTATATAGAGGAATCAGGACCTCCTTTCTCCTGCTGGGGACCCCTCTAGTGATAACTAAAGATCTATATAGAGGAATCAGGACCTCCTTCCTCCTGCTGGGGACCTCTCTAGTGATAATAAAGATCTATATAGAGGAATCAGGACCTACTTCCTCCTGGTGGAGATCCCTCTAGTGATAAGAGGGATCTCCAGCAGGAGATTCCTCTATATAGATCCTCTAAAGATCTATATAGAGGAATCAGGACCTCCTTCCTCCTGCTGGGGACCTCTCTAGTGATAATAAAGATCTATATAGAGGAATCAGGACCTACTTCCTCCTGGTGGGGATCCCCCTAGTGATAATAAAGATCTATATAGAGGACTCAGGACCTCCTTCCTCCTGCTGGGGACTACTCTAGTGATAACTAAAGATCTATATAGAGGAATCAGAACTTCCTTCCTCCTGCTGGTGATCCCTCTAGTGATAACTAAAGATCTATATAGTGGGATCAGGACCTCCTTTCTCATGCTGGGGATCCCTCTAGACATAATAAAGATCTATATAGAGGAATCAGGGCCTCCTTCCTCCTGCTGGGGACTACTCTAGTGATAACTAAATGATCTATATAGAGGAATCAGGGCTACATCACTGAGAATGCAGCCCATCCATTCACTAGACTGGTGACATCACTGAGAATGCAGCCTATCCATTCACTAGACTGGTGACATCACTGGGAATGCAGCCTATCCATTCACTAGAGACCGGTGACATCACTGGGAATGCAGCCTATCTATTCACTAGAGACCGGTGACATCACTGGGAATGCAGCCTGTCCATTCACTAGAGACCGGTGACATCACTGAGAATGCAGCCTATCCTATGCATTCACTAGAGACCGGTGACCTCACTAGGAATGTAATGCACTGAACGGGCATGCCGGAATTAGTAGTTCTGGGGGTCGGGCATCCTCTGATCACTGTCACAGTATTACCTGTAGCAGGTGCAGAGTCAATACGCTCTACTCTCCTTTACATGCAAGTATTCCTCAAATATTTACATGTCACATTTTCATACGCGGAGTGCGGATTGTTGATTCTGTGTCAGTATGTTTGCACAGACCTTAAATCCCGCTCACAAAGGCCAGTCATGGTAGTAAAGTTAATCGTCATATCCGGCCGATCACAAGGGTACGTTTTTCTTTCCTGGAGAACATCACATTGTCCTGCGGGATAATCAGGATGTTTTACCCAGAATCTGGGATACCCCATATTCTCACGGCACCCGCACTCTGCCATCAGGTTCTGAACCTTCCTGCAGATGACACTGCGGTTGAGCAATGCAACTTGGTCTGGACACCGAACCCAGCCTGTGATAGGACAATAAGGGAGCATCAGGACACTGATAAAGTCAGCCCTTT